GTACTGCTCCTGGAAATCAAGAGGTAATCCTCTGCTAATAGAGCCAACAACTTGGGTGAATCTGAGTGCAGCTTGATGGAGTCAACTTTGGAAAGTTACATGAGGGTGATTCCGTCTGGGAGATTTCCTCAAGACAGAGCTATTGCTATGGAGAATAGACCTATGGTTACCAGAGGCAATGAGTTTCTCTTGACAGAGTTCTAATGGTCCCTAATACCCTCTTCTGTCAACCTCCTTTGATCCTACCCAAATGTCAAGGAAAGGATTATTTGTTGGCACAGGGCAGTCCAGCTGCATGGATGACAGCAGCACATGCAACTAGTTCTTCAGGGATATGTTTTTAAAGAGCCAATACCACTTTATTGCATGATTAAAAAAAAAATAGATACAAAGATTTCAAACCTCTCCTTTACTTGAGCACTTAATTCCTCTCATAGTTTCTTCTCAAAACAAATAGACTTACCCACCAGGGAGTGCAAATTTCTTTTAAGGACTTAGATTCTAAACAGCGATTGCCAGGAAGTTCTATTGCAAAGCAGATTCTTGAGAACCGGGTTCATCTGATATATTGAACTTAATTATTTAAATATCATGCAAATTGTTAGGTTTTAGTGTAGAAATTTCCAACAAAATTTGTTTTAATGCCCTCCCCAGTGAGTTCATTTCAGATAATACAGGGGCATCTTTGAGAGTCCTGGGAGTGTGAACGTGCACCTTATCTCTGCCTACCTCTGTCACCCCCACTTTTCTTATGTGTATGAAATCACTAATGCCTCTTCCATTCCTTGAGCAATTTGTTTTCTACTGCTCCCACTGAGGTCATGTTCAAGTGCACCACCCACCTCCTCCCTGTACTGTTGTGTTTCTCCAGATTTCTCCTGGCATTTATGCTGTCTCCAGACCCAAGGTCATTATTTTTGCTCAGAAGTTACTGGCATCCTTTTCCATTTTTGCAACTTCTCTTTAAAATTATCATATTTTAATCAGATTATTTTCCTCAACCCCTCCTATATTCTTCCCACTCCATACCCATCCAACTCCATCCTATTTCTGTTTCTCTAAACTAGTGGTTTGCAATTTTCCTAATGGTATGACCCTTTAATGCAGTTCTTCATGCTGTGGTAACATCCAACCATAAAATTATTTTTGTTGTGACTTTATAACTGTAATTTTGGTACCGTTAAAAAGTGAATTGTAAACATCTGTGCTTTCCAGTGGTCTTAGGTGACCCCTATGAAAGGCTCATTCTGGGTTGGGACACACAGGTTGAGAACAGCTGCTCTAAATAAACAAACAAACAAACCCCCAAAACAAATAAACAAACCAAACCCAAAGGATGTACATGCGCGCGCGCGCATGCGCGCGCACACACACGCACACACACACACACACACACACACACACACACACACACACACACACACACCAAAACAAAACATCATGGAATCAGTTTTATATTGGCAACTACTCCTGAATGTGAGACCTGCCTTGGAGTGTGGCTCATATGCTTAGTGTCACTTCATTTGAGAAGACTGTTTTACCCTCTTTCAGTACCTGTGCATTGAAAATTGCTTCTTAGATAGGGGGTTGAATTTTGTGCCTATTTCCTCTTTTTTCTGCTGGGACTTTGTGAGTTTAATTGTACAGATCTTGTGTAGTTTATTACAGTCTTTGTAAATTCATATGTGCATCATCCCTGTGTAACATAGCTTCTCATTTATACGGATGTTAGCCTGTAAGCTTTGATATGATTTTAAGCTTTGGATATGGTTTATTTTGTGTATTTTACTTGCAGCATGTCAAAACTTCCTCTTACTGGAGACTTTCTTTACTCTGCCTTTTTGTTGTTGATCAGAATAACATTTTTTTTTAAATGTTAAGAATGTAATTACTATGGAATTTGAATACATCATTCCTCTCAGATGTTTTGCTTGTCTTGTATTGTTTCTATTTCTATGATGAATTTCTGGAAGTTGTGATTTGTACCCTAGATCCCTTATAGCACCCGTCTTAACATGAATATCCTCCATACATTTATCAGAAGATTTTAATGAGATATCATTTCCTTTGACTGAGTAAACTCATCCCAACTGGAGAACTGAGAAAATGGGGATATAATGAGGTGACATAACTCTGATCAAACAGAAAGGTAATATGCTACAAAGTAGATTTTGAACCCAGAGTCCATCTCCATATCCCATGGACTTAGTCTGTAGTACTGGAGACACCAAGTGCATACTGAGCTAATCTCTTGCCTGTGGTGATAAGCAATAGGCATGGGCTACAGAGGTCCATATTCTATTGTTCAGCAGGCTAATAGCTATGTGAATCTCGATTTATGGAGAGTTTTGACTATTCTTTCCACTACTTAAGTACCTTGTCTTGATATGAGATGGTAGGAGACAGAGGAGCACTGAAGCTTGCTTTTAGAAAGTGCTTTCCCTACCCCTAGGCTCTTATCTTTGTTCCTCAGCCAGATGTGGCAACATCAGTGCAGCGCAGGTCACAGTGTTGTGATCACATCAAAAAGATATTAGGAAGCAATAGGCACATAGGATAGGGTCATTTCTCTAAATTTGGTTTTTATTTGCTTTCACATTAGTCCAATCTGTTACATCTCAAATCACTATAGCATTTCCAGTGTGACTATATATGTGTCTGTGCAGCTGTCTTTATCCACACTCCCAATTGCAGTTGAGACACTTGTCCAGTTCATATCATCAGGATGGGGCTCTTTGGCTTGCTTTGTAGAAGGTTCCATTCTGGAAGGATTGTTAGTCCTTCTTGATAGTCACAGGACTCTTCATTTTGACAAAGGCGTTTTCTTTACCCTCAAGTGAATATGAAAGTGTAGCTATTAAATGAAATTCATGTTCAAAGGAGTACATTTGTCCTTCAAAACAGATACAGAGTTTGGTGTGGTGGCTCAGTCAGTAGAGTACAGGCTATACAAGCATGGAACTGAGTTCAGATTCCCAGAATTTAAAGGGTGGGACTTACCTGTCATCCCAGGACTGGGTGAGGAAGGCAGAAGGGTACCTGGAGCTCATTAGCAGGCTGATGCGTTGGTGAGTTTCAGTGAGATACCCTGTCTCAAAAAATAAGGCACTGAGTGGCTGAGGAAACATCCAACATCAGCCTCTGGCCTCAATACACATGTTCACACACATAAACCACACACACACACACACACACACACACACACACACACACACACACACCACACCTGACTTTGCACAGGAAGATGTTGCATTTGCAGCGTGTATTGGTATATACATAGGGTTTCATTTGAGCATATATAGCAATGATCTTAGCTGCAGGTACTTTTTTTTTAATCATCTTAGATGTCACAACAACTCCTTTTTAAAAATTTTATTAGATAACTGTATCAGACACCAGCCAATCCACAATGTCCAAAATACCTATTACTTTTCCAAGTACAGCAAATAGTTGGTGATCTTCCATTTATAGAAGTACACATAGATCCCCCTTTTTTATGATGAAGAGATGCTTCAGGAACTGCTATAACAAATGTCTTAGCTTTGTTATCCTTGTGGAGGAATAAGTAATCTTCCTATGAAGTTTGTGTTCATGGTGTGTCTAAATTCTGAATGGCCAGATCACCAAGAGACCTGATCCTGCAAAAGCAGAGTCCTTAATAAATTAAAAAGTTAACTGGATTAACTTGGGTCCTTCATCCTTTTAACATGGCAGGTGGAGGAAAAAGGACCTAGAGGGACCATGGACAGGAAATATATTGGTGTAGAGCAAGGGGAGTGTCTGGGAAGGGGGGGAGGTCTGCAACAGTCTCACGATTGGTGTACTTCCAGGCTTCAGCGACCTTTCCTGTGTTGATTGGTCAACTGGTTGCTATGGCCTATAGGCCTGCCCGGGGTGGTTGCTGTGCTCACTGGTACCATGAAGTAAATGGACCTTGGTTCCTTGCCACATGGAGGGTATCTGGCTTCCTAGTGACTACAAGTTTGGACAACGTCAGAAGTTCAGCACATGTTATTTAGTCAGAGACCTACAGCATGCTGGGTCTTTTCTGCAGCCTGTCATGGCTGCTACAGCAGGGGGATGGTTGAGGGTCTGCTCGCTTCATTCAAGCCAATAATCCCATTCATTACTTTTCTATTACTACTGACATAAATATTTTGTTTCTTAAAAATACTTTTTGTGAAGATCTGACAGGTCATTTGAAGTAGGGACTAGGACTTCTCTCCTGTCTCTAGATTAAAGCAGTATCCCTCCATGGGGGATGTGTTCACAAGGTCCATTTGTGCACCAGGGTTACATCCTGGTTCCACTGTCTGAGGTCCCTTAGACTGCTCAGTCCTTCTGGCTGAGACCCATATACAGCGGGGCCTGAGTCTGTCCCATGCTGGATTCCCAGCTATCAGTCTAGTGGCCGTTAGCTCCTCCTTGTTCAGGTCATCTGTCTCTATGTGTTTTTGCAACCTGTTCTTGTCCTCTCCATCTACATCTGGGTTCTAGTTGGGCTCAGTGTTTAGGTATGGGTGTTTGCTTCTGTTTCCAACAGGTATTAGGTGAGGGCTCCATGGATGTACATGACCCCACCTGGATGGCATTGCCCTACATGTGGAATTGGGGTGGGGGGATAGGAGGAGAGGGTGGTCAGGGTGTATGTGAGGGGGTAGAGAGGGTAAGAGGGAGGGAGGGAGGGAGAGGGAACTGGGGTCGACATGTAAAATAATAAATTAAAAAAAAAAAAAAGCTATCTCAATCCTGTACCCAGGGTTCCCAGTCCTCTACCCCCACGTGAAGTAAGACTACGGACCCCAGTGCACTGGAATATAAAAGACCTCATTCTTTTGCATAAAAAAAAATACTTTTTGTGATGTCTGTGAAATTATGACCTTGATGTTTTGCTTCTCATTAAGGGATCAAGAGTAAATTTTCTGTATAAATTCCCCTTGTGTATGCCCTTACACCGTGAGAAGGCTCATATCCTCTCCTTGTGATATGTCTTGCAGGAATCACCGACTATTTTCCACTAGAGGCACACTCTTTTGAGGGGTGGAATTCTTGATTCTTCATGCAGTCATGGATCTGGATAAATCATCTGTCTGGGGGTCATTAAAACAGCGGACCAGACCATTGTTAATCAACCTGAGCAAGAAGAAAGCCAAAAAGAACCCAAGCAAACCCTTGGATTTAAGGGTGCAGCATCACTTGGACAGGCGCCTCAGCCTCTCTGTGCCTGACCTCCTGGAAGCAGAGGCCTTGGACCCTGAGGGCCGGCCTTACTCAGGGCCCCAGTCATCCTATACCTCAGTACCCAATAGCCTGTCCACAGCAGGCATCGTCCCCAAGAGCAGCAGCAGTTCCCTGAAGCAGTCTGAGGAAGAACTGGACTGGAGCCAGGAGGAAGCAAGCCATATCCATGGGGTGGACACCGACTCTGAGGAGATCTATGCCTCTTCTGCGGAAGAGAGGCTGGCATCCAGCCAAAGTGGCTTGGATCTGCACAAACATCCCCTTGGAGGGGATGCTCCTGAGGAGCCAGAGGTGAGGCCTGGGCATGTCCCATTTCAAAAAAAATGTTTTTAAGGTGCAGTCATTGTCCTTGGGAAATTTGGGTAGGAGTTACTTTGCGGTTATACTGTATGGAAAGAATGTCATTTGCGAGAATTTAAATTAATGCACTATTGATTGCACTGGTGTTCCCATTTGTTTTAGGGATGACCTCTATGTATTTAAAAGCTAGCCCCAAAGAACCTTCTAGGACCATTTAAGGCTTTAAAAGCCCTGGTGGGCAAGGTTTCTTTGTTTCTTCTCCTGGCAAAGAAATTGGGCACATAACTTTAACCTTTTGTTTGTTCCCCTCTTCCTCCTTCTTTTTTCCTCTTCTTCCTCCTCCCCTTACCATCAATAGGTTACATTTTTCACACTGAGGTGAGGAGTGGCAACAAATGAGAGCAATAGAGACTCCCCTCTACATTACAAGCTCAATCAGACTTGTAGACAGAGCATGCTCACTGTGTTTTTTCTAATCTAGACTTTGTAGACAAAGCATACACTCCATTATTTTAAGGTGGTGTGTATGTTTCTCTTTGACAACCACAGCCCAAAAGACACCCTTTTCTTCCTGTGCTGTCAGGTCTGTGTAAACTTGTGCACACTCTGTTTTGAGAACTTCCTTTACCTCTCTGCACAAAAAGATAGTAGAAGTCAGTGATAAAAAGTTCATTGATTGGTGGGTTTTAGCAAAGCTTCAACATTTCAGGGAGTCTAAGTGGCCAGTGTAATGCCAAAGCTCATAGATCTGGAAGAAGAGTTGAAATTCACCAAATTCCTATATCCTGATCCTGATTTGGACAATCACTTTAATCAGTCAACTTGGATATTTTTGATGGAATTCTTAATTAATGATGCAAAAATAGCTTCCAAAGTTGAAGTAAGAGGCTGCTTTTTTTTTTAATGTATTCCAGATTAATCTTAGAGTTATATCCAAATTGATTCTTCCATAAAGGTTCTGGTTTTACGTTCAGATGATAATCTGTCAATCATACAGTGTGTCTGGATTTCCTTGGGGAATGGCCTCTGGGAATGGAGGATTCTGGGATCATGTCCTTTTGGACATTGTTACTCATTAAAGGGCTTAGCGATTTTAATTTTGACTTAGGTGATATTGTTTGTAAAATATTATATATTTAATATTTGTAAATTTGAAATATGTTTACATTTTGCAAAATGCTAATAAGGTAGATCTAATAAACTTTGTCAGTATGTGAAAGGAAACCTGTTGATTATATCTTGAAATTGTCTTCAATATCTTTGCATTTATCCGAATCTGAGTGGATTTCTTGGCTTTCATATGGGAACAATTTCAAATTAGAAAGATTTTTGAGTTATGGATACTTTGATCATTTAACCCTTTAGTAGTCTTTGTTGAATATATATAAATATTTCAATCTAGGTACCCTAAGCATTGCAAAGGGTGTGATTGGAAACTGACGAATGCTACAGCATTATCCTGGGGGCCAGGGGAGGATGGTCTAGTTTGTGGTCTACACGGTGCTTGAATCTTCATGGTCCCTTTGGTATAAGATGGGTCTTTCCACTCTCTAAGATTCCAGTGTTTGATATGCAGAAAGAGGCATTTCTTCCTCACTCTTCTCTATGAGTTGTCTGTGATTTGCAGAGTAGGCATGGCTAGGCGAGGAATATCTAAGTTTTCCTTTTCTGAAGGCCTTGCTCTGGGACCATACAGAGCATATGTTCAACTATGCTTTGTTACAAGCAGTTTCCTGCCAGCCTGAACCCACTGCTGCGTCAGCTCCAAATAACACACAGAGATGCTGTATAAGATATTAAGCTGTCGGCCTGTTACTAGCGTTTCTTAATGGATAGCTCTGTCTTAAATATTAACCCATTCCTACAACCTAAATGTTTCCACGTGGTCTTACTGGAGAGAGAGTCTTGACCTCTTATCCTCTCATGGCCTACATCTTGATCTCTCTACTACACCTCCCAGAATCCTCCTTGTCTCTTAGTTTCACCTATCTTGCTTTCCTATTGGCCATCATCAGGCCTTTATTCATTAACCAATAAGAGGAACATATATACAGAATGGCATCTTCCATCGATGCTTAAAGCACTGATGGCAATTGACCCAGGTTAATAGAGTATATTTGTGGGTTTTCAGAATTGATTTGTTAATAGCATTTATTATTTAAATTAAAAATGGCCTTCATGGGTGACTTTTTTTTTCTGTAAGTATATAGTGTGTTCTGGTAATTTGTTTGTAGCCATTCCCACTCTCCTTGATTCTAATCCTTTTCTCTACTCACCCACAATGTAGTTTGTAAGTTTTTTTTTTTTTTTAGATGCCACGTTTGAGAGGAGGTGTGGTTTTCTGAGACTGGCTTATTTTGTTTAATATGTGACCAGTACTAGTTTTACCCATTTTCTTACAAATGGCATGGGTTTGTTCTCCTTTATGTTGAATAATATTCTACTGAATATATAGAGCATATTTCCTTTATCCATTCACCTGTGCCTGACCACTGGACTTGTTCTATCTTTTTGTTGTTCTTGTCATTATTTACCTGTTGACCCATTAGGGCTGCTTATAAGTGCATGTATGGGGGAGGGTTTGTATACAGAAGCATGGGCACCTTGCTAGTGGCTTTGACACTGGACAAAATAAATTTTCCCTCTCTCTCAGCAGTTATTGGAATTATCAGTATTTTTATCATGAGGTTTTTTTTTTTTTTTTTTTTTTTTTTAGGTTCCTGAGATAATAAAATCAATATATCTTTCTTTAAAAAAATTCTAAGTATACTATTCTATAAGATGTTAGCTGCAAGTTTAGAGAGGTCTGTGAAGGTGGATTACGTTCTAATCCAAATGTGGTAAGAACTTGAAATCTGAATTTATGAATTTGGCTTTATTTAATGACAAAAGAAATCCTGACAAATTTGTGCCAATGGAATCTTGATATCAACTTATCTGTCTCCTGGATCTGGCTCATGTTTGTCTTCCTTCTAAACAGTCCACAGATGTCTATAACTTTCATGGGATGGGGGAGAACTAATATGGATGGCACTAGTTGTCATGTGACCAGCCTGGTATACAACAGGGACATCAGAGGTTTTCAACATCCTTGGTCTGGGTGTATGGCTTGTATCTTTCCTGAGGGGGAGATGGTAAACTCTGTGGTCTAAAGGACAGACTTTGCAGATGTTCTGCCTTGTTAACATCATCCAGAGCCTGTAGTTTTGTCAGAAGACTTCAGATATCATATCTGGATTATCTAGACACTTTGCAGATCCACCAGTGTCAGCAGCTAAAGAGAAAGGGTCAGCTTACGGTCAGAACAAAGAACGAGAAGATGGGGGGGTTGGGGAGGGATAAAGGTGAAGGGTATGAGTGGGATGTGAGAGTACACAAGACAGGTAGAGACAGGAACATCCACACAGATTCTCAGAGCAGCCACAGTAGCAAACTGCAGAAAAGACACTTAGCAGAGGAGGATTGGAAAAGTCAGACTCCACCAAACTGGTTTTCATCCTCAGAATCACATGTGTTGATAGCCCTGGGGAAACATGGCTTCAAGTCATGTGACTGGAAGACATTGTCCCCAAAGGGCCTTCACATATAATACTGCTGACAGCACCACCATTATCTGTCTACTAGCTCAGACCCCAAGTGTTATGTTTAAATTATTCTTTCTCACTCTGGGAAGCCTTTTTCCATCTCTCATCTATTCCTTTTCCTTTCCCCTGTATTCTCCTGTTCTGCAAATCCTTTATAACTGTCAACACTGGGTGAAATTTCCTTCTGTTATGCTGTTTTCCCATCTTTGCACCCAATGTGCTTATCCTGCCTTCATTTTCATAACAGTGTGCTTCCATGCTATTGGAAAATATCTTCTTTCTGCTTTGGCTAGGAATCTGTAGAAAGAGAAAGGCATCATTATGGGAAGAGGAGGTAGATAAAACAAAGGCAAATTTGAGCCTGGCATGGTTATCTCTGTGTAAATGTGTTATTGATTTGAAGTCATTAACTACCTGGTGGCCATTCAACTCTAAGGACTGACTTCTAATAAACAGAGTCATAAAACTAAGTTACAAGTGGAGATAACAACTAATTTACAAGGAGAATTAACAAGTATATCTTCCCTATCATTATTATTTTTTTTTTTTTTTTACAATAAAGGGTCCATTCTTCATTGCAGGCAAGATGCTTAGAAATCAAATCAAAATCAACAGCATTGCTAATTTGTTGGGAAAAATGTGTATCTCAGAGTTACCATAGTGAATGGTAATTGTTAGGTTCATTTTCATGGCAGAGTTTGAGAGAAATCACACAAAAATTAGAAGGTTGTTGTATGTGAGTCCCAATGAGAGACATAGATGGCTTCCATGAGTGTTATTTATGTCAGCACCCATCCCATAGCGAGGACAGAAGTGCAAACGAGAACTTGAACCATTTTTCCTGGACCATCATTATTCATTTCTACATGGGACGCTGTCTGATAAAGCTAGACTTGTTTATGTTTTGTGGATAGGTTGTCCTCCCCTGAGCTCACCTGAAGTTACCTAGCTTCTTTTTTTATGATTTCTCTGTTCCAACTAATACATTGTTTGATTTGTTTTATGTTTTACTTATTTAGGCTGTATATTAGATGTTGCTGTGACAAAACACTGAGAAAAACACCTGAAGCAATCAGGAGGGTTACATTGCCTCACTCACAGTTCAAGATTATAGTCACATCAAGCAAGTCTTGCTGGAAGGAACTTAGGTAGTACATCACACGGAATCTGCAACCAGGAAGCAGAGCGAGATGAATGGTGAGGCTCAGCTCCAGTCATTCTTCACTTTAGTCTAGGACCCTGGCTTGTGGAATGATGCTTCTTATCTTTAGAGTTAGACTTATCCTCTTAATTAAGTTAATACAGAAACCCACTGAGAGATAGTTCCAGAGATTTGTTTCCGTGATTATTCTGCCTCCTAGTAAGTTGATAATGACAATTAACTTTCTTCAGGAGCTAGCACTCAGA